TAAAAGGTGAGGCCTTTTTTACTGCTTACTGCTTGTGTGTTCTTCACGGTTTTCTTACATGTTTTTCTTCAAACCATCCACATGGGTGAAAGAAGTCCTGTCAGCTCCATTGTTTCAGATGGAGAAGTAAGTTACAGCAGGGAGGAAAATTTCTGTGGTGTACAATAGGTAGACTGATCACAAAACTTCCCCTGTAGAGAATAAACTAATGCCCTTTACACAATGTATAGTGGACAACTAATTAAAAGTATTGCTCAAATGACCACACAGATCCAGGTCCAGTAGTCTGGGGGCTTTTTTCCCCCCTAATCTATTGTTCTGAATTTCTCCCATGACAGCTGTAAAGACCTGCCTTCTCATTTCCTGAATGAACATGTTTGGTCACGTAGGAATGGCTGTAAAAGGGGCTGAAAGCAGTGTGACACCGGAACAAGCTGAACCAAGTATTAGCATGTACACAAGAAAATGTCACACAAGGTCATGCAGGTACTTTTAAAAATCCCATTTTAGCCCAAAGCCTGAGACTCACTGATGTCCAGAGGCTGTTCTGCCATGTTCTCAATGGCACCAAAATATTACAGGTAGGTTTTATAAGGACCAATCCCATGAAACTACTCATTAGTAAGACAAACAGTTCTAAAAGAAAGAAGATGTCAAATGACTGTGGGGTCACACACTCAATTATGTTCTTTTGTTTGGTTATTCTTGCTCAGGGATTCATGATGAATGCACCAGGAACACTGTTTTGCTTGAAACTGCCAATACCCATACACTGGTGGTATCAAAAGCAACACACATTCTAGCAGCGCTTTTGTATGAACCCCTTGCTGCACTTAAAAGTGTTGCTGTAGAAGCATTCTGCTGTTCTAATTTGAAAAACATGCATTTTACTACTGCTTTAAGACTTCATATATGATTTTACAGGGCACCATGTAAGCTTGCCTAGCATTCTGCAAACCAGCAATCCTTAACCCAGAGTCACAGTCAGGAGCTTTACAAGTGAATTTTCATTTCTTCATGATATCCTCTTCTAAGATTAGGAAAACACAAGTAAATTGCTGAATCCACTTTGTTGATTTGCCACATTTTTCTGAACAACACACAAGAACATTTATCTCTGGAGACTGAAATTTCATCAGCCATGTTGATTACCTTTATCCATAAATTAGAAACCTGAACTTATTTTGGTAGGTTAAGAAGTACATCCATATTCCTGCCCATATCCTTAACACATGTTTAGGTTACAATATTCCCAGTCAACATTGTGTGGCTCTATTTTTGGCTTACACATGCAGGCAGTTCAAACCAGCTCATAATTAATCTTAATAAACAAAACATAGGAAGAGTGGACAGACAGTGTTTGCGTGTGTGCAACTTGGGTATGTAGCTAAGTAGCTTACCCCACAGTCACATCCTGGGTCAGCAGCACTACCAAGCACAGAGCTCAGATTGTTCATATTCAAGTTCACACTAGATCCCACAGATACTTTTAGAATAACTGGTTGTTTATTTTAATGAAATGAGTAAAATATTTCCTCCAAAAAAATTATTAATGTTTCACATTCTTAGTTTCAGTGCTTCATTTCCCAGCATCACACATGCATGGGTTACACAAACATAGACAGGGCCAGAAAAGCTTACTTCTTTTTGTATTGTCAAGACAGTTTGATTGTTTCTTCTCCAAGGAACTTGGAAGTCTGTAAGAAGCAGAAGTGCTGGAAAATAAGAAAGTACAGTGGAAAAAAAAGCAAACAACAATGTTGGCCCTTCAGAGCTACTCCTTCTTGAGTTTGGACTGGATGAATGCTGCAATACAATTTTGTCACATTACCATAGGATTTTGTGATTTGGAGTAGATGTAATGCACTATTGTGCCCACTGAAAAAAGAACACCGACCACAGGACTACCCTCCACTACCACTGTTGCACACTCAGTCCAGGAAAATTCCAGAAAACCCACGGATCTTCCTGGAATTCACAATACCTCCCTACACTCCTGGGTACTTCAGGTGGAAGGTGTTCAGGTAGTGATGGCTGAAGATAAGTAGATCCAGATAAGCTGATATGTTTGGGTTGAACATGACTGGATCTCTGGTAGCCACTTTTTCATCGATTTCTTCTGTTGATGCTTTGGTTTCAGTGTTGGTTTAGCTTTTTTGCTTTTCTGTTTGTTTGGGGTTTTTTAGTTCAAGCTTTTACTACCATAATAACAGGGTCGTAGGTGTGGATTTAGGTGTTTGGTTTTTTTTAACTGGACATGGGACTTGTCACTTTCAATCATCAGCTACTCACCACTGTTGGACAGCTTCTCAATTCAGAAGTCAGTGTATTGATATTACTAAACAGAAAGGAGTATCTCATCCCAAGACTCAGCAAAAGAAAAGAGAGTAATCTAAACAAGTAGTATGAGAGTGTATCACTGTAACCATTTCCACAATGTGTCTGTGGCCAATTGCTACAAAAAATTTATAACTTGCTTCATGATTACCTGCTGTTGCAGGGGGACAATCACAAAGGGATCAGGATTCAATGACAGAACACTTAGCTTCACAAGAAATAAAAATGATGTCAATTATCAAGGAAGGCAGAACTAGTAGTTTTAACTGCAATGAAGCACGTGAATCCTGGTACCAGACCAAGGCCCCCAGAATTCACCTTTTAAAAGTATGTAAAGAGACAAATTCCACCAGGTAATTTACAGTGTTTGTACGGAGCAGAGACCAAACGAGATCCCACAGCAGAAGAACTGAAGGAGTTGTGGGTACCACAGCCCAGGCACCGTGGCTTCAGGAAGCCTGTAGTCTCTGATCCATATGGCTTAAAAGCCCGCAGGGGTTAATACAGACTCAGAGAATCACAGAATCTAGTTCCTCCATGGAGACAAAACTACGGAAGTGACTGTCTGCTTGTGGATATTTTAAAGAAAAAAGAAAACATATGGCCCTCTGGAGCTATGCTTGCTTTTTCTCCAGCTGGTATGACACAGAGAACAGATAGCCTAGGCCTACAACTAAATGCAAAAGCTTTATTCCAAGGAGCAATTAGGGAACAATTTAGGGAACATGCTTCAATTTTAAAAGTTCTCAGATTAGCAAAGTGGAAACAAAAAAACTGAGAATGCTCATGTACACTAACTAATAAAACTGTTAAAAGCACAAAATATCTCAGCTGCATAAACCAGCAGTGTCTTACCTGTGTGAGGAATATTTCTGTGAACTACCAAAGACAACTTAGAATGAATAATTAAAACCAGCCTCTTCTCTCTCAGATGTTACTTTGTGATTCTACACATAGACTAGTAGCGAGCCAAAATTAAAACAGAAGAATGGGCTTAATTCGGAAGGCTAGAAAGAAAGATGGGTAATTTAATTTATAAAATCAGAAATTTCATTTAAAAGTGTGACCCTGTGGATTAAAACCACATTTGTGATAAATAAAGTCAAGGGCAGACATGATGCATGTCTTTAACTTCAAGTCTTGAAACATGCTGGTAAATGTTTCAGAGTACAAACTCATTTCCTACTCTGGGCCCAAATGCAGAGCCAGTGTGTGCAAACAGCCCACCAACTTCTGAACCCCAGCAGGAGTGCCTGTGGCTTGTAGGGATCTGGAGTCATGCGCTCCCCAGGGATGGCAAGGCCAGGAGGGATCTTAAGAAGTCATCTAGTCCAACCTCTGCCAGAGGATGAACTGTGTCTAAAGCACTGCCAACGTTTAAAGTCTTATTTAACTTTTATATTAAAATTTAAGTGAATGATCTTATAATATTCTCAGAAAATGTATTGCAGGGCTTTGCATAGTTACCAGCAGGATTATTTTCTCCTAATGCCTAATCTGAAGGTAGGCAGTTACCACTTGTTCTATGAACAGGGAGTTTGGAGAACAAGGTTTGGGGTTGTTTTTTTACTGTCTTCTCTGCAATAGCTTTTTGCAAATGTCAATACTCCTTTAGTCCCTGCTCCTGCAGACTAAACACACCAAATTCTTTCAATTTCTACATACAAAATAATCTTGTCTAGCACTCTCATCTTTCTTGTCTCTCTCCACTGGACTCTTTCCAACTAGCCCCCAACCTCTCTGAAGTGTGGTGCCTGAAACCAGATATAGTATCCCAGCTCAGACTTCATTAGACCTTATTAGGCCTAATTAGAGTAAAAGGTTATTTCATGTGAATTTAATGGGATATGCTTATTCATTCAGTCTAGCATGAAATATGCTTTTTCACAAAAACATGACATTATTGACCCATGATTAATTTGCCATTCACTGGAATCCGCATGTCCTTTTCCACAGAATTGCCATAACCAGTTAGGTCTCCTCCATCCTCTTTCTGTTATTTACTTGAATTCAACACCTTATATTTGCCCTAACTAATGCAAATCCTACTTATGTCACTTAATTTCAGCAACTAATTTAAATAACTTCTTGTTGTAATCTATTCCTCTGATACACTTTCAGGCTTTATAATCAATAATTACTTGTAAATGAGGTATCTATTGCATAATCCAATTTGTTTTATAAAGTATATAAATTAGCATAAAACTGACTTAAGTAAAGGCCTTCTTACTAAATCTTCCTAGGTGACAGTGAATTGTTAACAACAACCCTAGTACAAAAAACTCTTGTAGATCCATTTAAACTATGCTTTCTACATTGGCTATGAAAATGTCAAAAGCAGACTTTACCAAAAGCCCCTTTGGTAAAGTCTTTTGTGTCACTTTTCCAGCTTCTATGTTCACAAGTCAATTATTCTGTGTGAATCAAAACATTCTGTCACAGAAGAAACTGTTTGATAGGATTTATCTTTCACGGTATTTCCCCTTCTCTCTGAAATTGTGTATTAAAATAAAAGCATTCTTGAATTGAGAAAGATGTATAGAAACTATTTTTCCACAGAATAAACATTAAAAACAATTAAAATGCATATTTCAATTTGTGAAGATCTTCCTGTTTTTGCCATAAACCATGTTATCTTACACATCAAATAGATCACAGGAATATGTAGTTGTCCTTATCCAATTTTATTTCCTTTAACAGAAATGCATACTTATTCCAGATACATTCCCTGCATCTAAATTAGGATCCTGAATTAAAAGCCAATGAAAATTGGCTTTTATTCTTTTACAGACTTTGGTGAATTCTGGATCAGTCCAGTGGTGAATGGAAATTCTTTCCCCAGCTGTTACATTTTATTGCAAGCACTGCTGTCCTACACACTCAGACAGAAGTAGTAGGTCGTTAAGTAGTCTATTTTTACGTACAGGTTATGCTACATAAATGATATAAAAGGCTAATGATGGACACACGTTGGACTAGGTTTTCCAAAGACACACTGATGCCACCACGCAAGGCAACTCTTCAAAGAGAAAGAGCCAGAATTCACAAACTTGATGGAAGTCCTGATACTAATCTATTAAATATCACATATATTAATCTAAACCACATAATTTCATTGGTCTGATCTTTAATATTGTACTTGATGTTACAAATAAATTAAAGCTTTAATATTTAATTGATAAAATTTTCCCATTTCAATGTAAAATTAACAGTAGGTTTAAAGTAAAAAGAGTTTTGTAGAGGCAACAGTTTTCTTTAACTTCATCAAGATTATAATTTTATAAGAGTAGAGAAATGTGTAAACATAAATATTCATGATTTTCTTCTGTACACATCTGTGTAAATTGGTTGATATAATTTACTATAGAAACATTGTTTGTTTATGCTACACACAGTTCTATGCTGCCATCACGTAGTAGTTCATTCATCTTTCGAAGAGTGAGAATTATGCATTTTGCATTCTAACCCCCAGTATGTCCATTGCCAGCAGTGGAGAATCAGACTCACAGTGTCAGCAATCTAAAATTACACTTCAGAACAAGATTATAAATAATCAAAAATCAGTGTATTATTTTCATATCATAATCACCAAATGCATAAAGGTCATGATCCATGCCAACCAAAATCAATGACTGTTTTCCCATTGACTTAGCTGAAATTCACTTGCAGTTTCCAGACCCTGTAGATTCCCATTTTAGGTTTACAATTTTGTTACAGCATGAGGAGTTAAAAAGCACGTGGTATCAGAGCTTCAGAGTGAGAAGTAAAGCCTCTAAGTCTTTCTGGGCCTCTTTATCCTGAAAGAAACAGACAATCATGCATCAACTTAGATAGGATAAATCCCTTCATTCGCCTAATACTTGCCTATCCACATTTCTTTACTCACAACAGACATAACACAAAACTGCAACAGCCACAAAATATAAAGACCGCATAGTAAGTTAATTTATCAGTGAATACAAAAATAAAGTGAAAACAAGAGCCAGGTGGCAGCCCTCCCTTTACAGCTCTGTTAAAGCACTTAAAATGTTAGCTGACAAATAGCCTTCTCAACAGACCAGTAAGCTTTTCAGCTTGGGATATAACTTTTATTGGTGTACTTTGCATAAAGTATTGCCTTCCTTTATACCTGACATAATCTTGCAACCCAACTGCGTTCAGTTTTTTCTAAACATATTTCTGTGATGTTTGCGAACGATTTATTATGAAACTAAGAAGAAAACATTGGGAAATGTAATTAATGACATAGGTTAGATTGTGGTTTCAGTGCATACAGCCATACCTACCTGTAATAGCCACCACGGACTGACTACACCCTCAATATCTTCCAGACCAGTGTTGGTGGGCTCTGCCTACGCTACTGGGCTCTGGGAAGAGTGGAGCCGATGGGGGAGCAACAAGGAAGTGATCTGCTGTGCTCAGAGCCAACACTATATTGCACCTCCTGAGGCAGAAGGGAAAGGCTTCTTTTAGGCCAGTGTTAAGTGCACAGTTTGCATGGGACTTTAAACCAAACCCAGGCCACAGACTCTCTCACAGGTAACTAGTGGCATATGTTTTGGCTATTCCATGTATGGTTGGAAAGGGGTACATGCATGGCAGTATGTAACCACAGCACAAAAACTCCATTATCCTACTTATTTTTAAATGTCCCTGGATATAATCCACTTGCTTTAGTCACTACTGCAAAACTTCTAGCTTGCAAACTGCACCTTGGTTTAAAACCACATTTCTCAAAAGTCAGCACCTGATACCTGAAGGTTGGTAAGAGTTCAAACACATGCACCCATGGGTACTTAACAGTGCAAGTGAAAAGTACCTGCACATCATAGATTTTATGCAAGTATTTCCAATGACAGGGACCAGTAGTGACAATGCCACAGGCAATTCTGAAAGAAAATACTGTAGACAGTCAATGAAGTAATCACTGAATTTCAGGATCACTTCATTATCCAATCAACCAAAGAGCTGGAACAAAATACAGGACATTTTAAAATATATTTTATGGGTGAAGAAATTCCTGCTTCTCTTTATTTTGCTTAGTTGTCTAAAATGTCATGGAATAACAGAGAAGAATATTGAGATGATAGAAACCATATGCCAGACATGTCAAACTACATTATATTATTGGTCTGGATTAAGGCATTAATACATTAGCTGGACACTTCTCTTGGAGTCACTGCCTTACTCCTACTGGCAACAATAGGCTAAACTATCTGCCTAATCATTTATCAGAGGCCTTAAAAGGCACACACTGCAAAGCCAGCAAGCTCTTGCCAAAATACTCTAACAGAAGGAAATGTCACACTGAATTCCGCACCCCTTAAACTCCACGTCACTACTGGCTGCCTGGAGCACCAACCCATTGCTTTCAATAAAAATTGGAAAACTCTAAATTTGTATCAATATCTTGCTTAAATCAGGGAAAATAAACTCTTTCCTGTACTGACTGTGGTCGACTTGTGAAAATGATTCTAAACTCCATTAAACAAAAAAGTAAAAAGCCAGATATTGTCCCATGGTATTCAGAAATGGACAAGTTTCATTTTATCTGGTTCTACTCTTTTGACACTTTTCTAAGCTGAAAATTGTAAAGATGCAGGTTTTCTCATATCTGAATGATATTCAGCATTTCATGGGACTCTTTACTTACTTTGCAGGATACAGCATTTAAAAAATATATCTCCAAACAACTTTGTATAATTGTCTCTCTGCTTAGAAGTGAAGGATTGTATTGGGCAATGAGCTTTAAAAGTCGCAAAGGTCTCAGAAATATTGGGCAATCTTCCCTGAATCTTCCTTTGGGCTTAGGAAAAAGAATGGAACAAACCCATGACTGTTCTAAGAACTGTCTGGAGAAGAAACTGCAAACGTGCAAAGCGTTCTACCTCTGGTTTGCCAGTTCTAAACAAGATTACATCAGTAAAAGCAGGAATTATTATTGTTGCAAACTACTTAACTGGCTGAATTAATTGAGCCCACAGCTTCCAGTCAATAAGAACTCATATGGCAAAAGCATTGAAAAAATCAGTAATGGTATTAAAAACAAGGCTGAGAATGGTCAGTGAAGGGAACTATGATGTCACCTTTGAATAGAGTCCTTCCAGACCAAGAGGTGTGTCACTCTAAAAGGAGAGAGAAGCTAGGATTCTGTTCAGTGCACCAGTTTCCAGGTTTAAGGGTGAAAACTTCATTAATGCCCAAAGCTTGACTGTTAATGGAAAGACAAAGCCATAAATCCTCTATTTGGCCAACTCTCTTCCTTGTTGATTTCTGGGTCTGTGGCTTTCTGAAAATGAACAGTAAGGTTGGCTTTTTTTTTTTTAATTATTTTTAAGACAGGCAGGCTCTGATCTCCCTTTAGAATGTGGCAGGCAGAGGAAGAGGTGCAAGTCGTAGGAAGAATGCAATATATTTGCGTCAGTCCCATTTGTTCACCCTGAGGCTTAGTTCAGCACTGACTGAATACGCCATTTTCAACCTTGACTTTCTACTGTCAAGGCTTGCATTTATTAAACACTTATATCATTTTCAGAGTTGAATAGGAGTTCAAAATGTTCTGCAAACTGCTACACAAAAGGTATTCAAATTACAGGGTCAGAGATTGTATTTTTCCTTCTTCCTATTTAGTTGCTTTTATGTTTCATCATTCACAGGAGATATTCACATGAAAAAACAGACCTAGGAGGCCAGGGACTGAACAGGGGAAGAGAGGGAGTTGAAAATAAGCGCAAGAAGGAAGACAGAGCTGGTGGGAAAAAGAGAATGTTAGCTTAACTGGAAGTAGTCCACATTTTGACAGTTCATTTCTGCTGAAAAAAATTTACCAATAAATATACATATACACACAGACTTACACACATAAATGTGCATGTAAAAATTAAATGGCAATTAAAGCAAAGACAGAAAGATAGTGATTTTACATCTCTGACAATTATTTCCTTATGCACTGAACACACTCAACCCAGGCACTGCACATGTGTGCACTTGTTGACAAAGTCCCAACTGTCAACAGAGAACGATACACCCCCATGACCATAACCAAAATGGTTACACCAGCCAACAAAAACATAATTGTATGCAACCACTGCCAAATCCCAAACTGACATGCATCCTGTAGGGTTTCATTGAAGTCAGCGGGGCAGATTGGTATATTAAACGAGCTGAGCTGCAAGGGTGGTCCAAAGCTGTACTCTGATACGCAGTAACAGCAATGAGGTGCTGAGAGACACTCCTGCTTTCGGGTACAGCTGTATCATTCCCTTGCAGCTCCAGGAGAAATCCTGGACTGTAACAGAAGAGACTCCCACACATGCACAAGGATTGTCAATTAGAGAGCAAAAGCTCTTGTGGACAATATAAATCACACAAAGCTAAACGCTATCCCTTCTCAGGTTCATGATCAACTCTCACAGATGATGTGACTGTAGTGGGCACTAAAAATTGCATAATACCATTTTTTCCCCTTAGATATTTCGATACACAATGCAATCACCCACTTGCCAGTTTCTAAATGACTGCTGTATGTCACAAGTTAGGGCATTTTATGTTCTTTCACATTTTTAGTATCTGCCTCTGGGGATTAATCATAACTTCTCAAGGCCTTTAGGATTAAGGCAAGCACAGCTTTAAAATATGTAGCTGATAATAATTACACATTTTTGGAAATTACTTCAAGTAGAGGGAAAAAATACCCTTTAACATCCAGAAGTCTGTGAATAAACAGTTCAGCTAGTTCAAGGACTGCTGTTCAAAAGTTAGAAAACAGCAGAATACAATCTAGAATAATAAACAGTCATGTAAAATTTTTATCCACTAGTTCTTTTCTAATTTAAAAGACTAAGTTTCACCTATAATCTGGCTTTCTTTTACTATTGTACACAATGTGGAGCTTTTGGTGTTCAAGACATTCCCCTCCTTCTCTTTCTGTCTGGCTGCTGCCCCTACCATGATGGGACCTACAGCTTTTCTTTCTGCACAGTTATTGCTGAAACAGCTTGAACACAATCATGCCCAGGTACAGCCCCTTCAGAAAGATGCCTGTCGAGGCTTTCCTTCACCCTGCATATTGAGTCCAAGACCATATATTTCAAGATCCTAGAGGCATAATTTGACCCAGCTAAACTACAAAAATTAAAAATAGGTTTTTGCAATCCTGCAGTGCACCACCACCTCTGTGAACATTTCTCCCACTCTGCCCCTGCATCATGCCCCTGCCCCGCATGCCAGCAGAGGAGATAACACTCCGCACCTTGAGGAATCATCAGCTGATCAGTCTTGTGGTACCAAGAGCTATGCTAAACCTGTGTTACCTTTGATAGAATGTTGAAATGAATGCTTTGTGATAGACAGTTTAATCACAAATATGATAAGCTTGGTATTCATCAGGATAGACTTTATCCTTATGTATGAAACTATGACACCACAAAAATAATCGTCATCACTTTTTGGAATTGTTTTTGGAGGGAGAGAAAGAATAAGCAGACAGTGCAAACAAACCTTTTGGCAAAGCTTAAAAAACATGCAGATAGAAAATTGGTCTAATCACTAAGATAGAGAAATATAGACTGTATTCTTTGAAGTGCAAATATAGGCAGTTTCAAATTCTTTTAGCAACTCTTTATCAAACGTCTCATTTTCCCCCAGCATTTTACAGATTAAAATCTGATCTCTTTCTAATGAGATTTTAAAAAGTGTATTCCCTGAGCTTGAAGCACTCACATTGAGAGTATACAAAACGACTAATCAAGGAATAATTTTTTAAGTATATTCAAAAGATATTTTATTTTTTGGTTGGTGGTAGCTATCAGAAAATTCTTGTTCAACTCCACGAACAGTATTAGAAGGAAAACAATAGCTTAGAATTTAAAATTAACACAAATCTGACACTTCCATTATTTTGCAATTGAAACACCATCAACTTTTGCTGGTCATTTGGAAAACAAATGTGCATAAAATCTAAAGCAACAAGTATGCTCTGAAAAGAATGGCATTTTGTATTAAGATGAAGATGTTGAGAAAAGAAAACGTTCTGTTTGATGAGCAAACAAAAACATTTTTATAAGGTTAAACCATATTATTCACATAGTTTCAATTGGTAGTTTTTTCACAAACAAGTCATAATTCATACCCTTCACTTTAAAAGCAAAAGAAAATTACTTTTTTCTCTTCAAAAACTTACTTAGAAGGACAGATTACCACAGCAGCTTCAAATGATATCTGTTGGAAATATCACAGCAAGGACTGCTACATATGGTGGCTAGAGTAATATTTCTTGAAGAATCTTGAAAATCCAGATAAACAAATGGTTTGTTGTAATAGGAACAGCTGATGGGTGCTGAAGTTTATACTCTGACCTCCCTTCCATCCCCCTGTAACTCCTACTCTTTTCCTTACTGACAATATTAAAAATGAAATTAATAACCAGGGAGATTATGGTGATGTAAAAAAAAAGTGTAAGAAAATCGTATGGGCATGATTTCTCCTCAGCAGTTGCAATCCTGTGTATACATTCAGCCATTGTTCCTGCCTATTATTACATTTACCTCCTGTTCCACATGAGTTTCAGATGTCACTGAGGCTGAAGGCAGAGTCTTTAACAAGTCTCTGCTTCCTGCCATTCTACACCTGTAAGAAGTGAATGCCATAGTGATCAATTTCTGTAACATCTAAATCTCTCTCACTTGTTAATTTCAATTCTGAATTGCCATAATTTGTACTTGCTGGGAAGGACCGAGTGTTTTAAATCACCAATAATTTTGTAAAAGTCTAAGCTTCAGGGAAGTTTTTATCTGCATTTTAAGTAAGACTTTCAGTAACTCTCAGTGCAAATAGATTTCCTTTGCATTTTTCCTGCTTTGCTGTCTTCATCTCTTCCAAGACTATACTTTTTGTAAGGTAACTGCTGCTTTATACATTCATTTTTTAAAAAGAGACCGGAGATTTTAACCTCTTTCTCTGCTAGGCTGTTAATTCCTTTGTGGTGAGCTTACTGATCCTACAAGCAGAGAGTTCACTCTCATACCCACGCTTGTCACCAGATACAAGAAAAAATTTCTTGATTATTATACTTTATAATACTACATTGAGACTTGAATTTTCTTCAAGTTCCAGCCTTGAAAGTACCCAACAATCTTTGTTACAAACAAGAAATTAGTGTCTTATTCCCCTTACAAGCAAAGCACCATGTGTTTAACCACGCGCACACACACGCACACATGTTTTGCCTTCCTATATGCAAGACAGACACTCGTGTTTTCAAAATTAAATTTCATTTTTGTCTTCAAATTTAAAAAAAGTAATCTTGTTCCATCTCAGTAGTATATCACATCTGGTTTCAACAGCCCTTCATGTAGTCACACTCACCAAGGCTTTGAGCACACTACAAAGTAACGTGTCTCAGTAAGGGTAACACAACATCCACTAGATGAATAGAACAGCTGTGAAGCACTTCACAATAACTCACAGCAGCCCTGAACATTAGGATCTCTTTTACTGAAGGGGCAAATATTTCCCAGGACCCTGAGGTTATCCACCTGGATAGCAACTAGAGAAAAACTGGACAATTTAATGTCCCATGCACCTCCAGCAGTGAAGCACCACTCTACAGTATGACAGTATTTACGGCCAAGGAAGAACTGTATGATTCATTGGAGGTTTTTGTTTAGAGTAGAGAGGATAGAAAAAGGTCTCTTAAGTTGCACTGTTACACCAGTTTTGTTTTTCCAGATGTAATTTTCACCAAAACTCACATATTTCCTTTTAAAATAAAAATAATGCATAGACTGTTAGGTTAAAAATGTGCCAAACTATTTTTAAAAACTGTCCTAATTTTAAAAATCATCCTGTAACTCTTAAATTACAGGACTTACAGGAGTTGTTCAAGCAGAACTGTTTCTTCTTTTACAATTTCTGTGGTAACCTTTTTAAGACTTATAAAAGGGTTGAAACTGGCCATCTGATCTTTTTTTCTTTAACAAGAATTAGCTATGTTTGGAAGCCCCTTTACCCCTTGAACTAAAACATATTCCTGTAAGTAGTAGGGCAGATGCACAGAAGGGATATTTGGATGTGATACAACATTCAAGTCAAAAATAATATCACTTAACTCAAAATGTTACACAAAATGAATCCTAGAGAAAGGGTCAAAGAAGTGTCCTGAGTTACAGCAGCTGAGAATTTGACCCGAGGATTAAAATGAGCTATGGGCTACTTTACTGGTGCCAAGCACCTCTGGTTCCCCGAAGTCACTGGAAACTGTGGATGCTCAGAAGCAATATAAAGTAAACCACTGTCTATGATTATTTTTCTGCAGGATGATTTGTATCATGAAATACTATACATTTCCTCAATGTGGCACCTTTCCAGCAGCTTTGTCTCTCAGTCTGCTCCTGATTTTATGCCTTTATACAAATACATGTTTCTCAATAGGAGCCAACATTTAAAAACAATAAAGGAATTCCCCTGCTTGAAGAAAGAGAGAAAACTCACATGATTACACTTGGGAATGATGGGTTTCACATGACTCTGACAACATACCATGCTGCTGACAATCTTGAGATCCTGTGCTGTGGCAAACTGAAAGAAATCCTGACTGCTGCTGACCTGTGCTTTTTGTTTCAGACCACGAACCTCATCTTCTACAAGGCTGTAGTCAATTCAGGCACTTTATCAGCATCCATTTATTGCTGTCTCCCTAATGTCTCCTTAGTCTTATCACAATCTCTTCCCTCCCTTAAACTAATCTGACTAAATGTTATTTCTACGTACAGCTCCAAGCCCCGAACCACTTCATTTCCAACATGATTTTCCAAAAATCACTAACAGTCCTTCTCTAACACAATAACCAAAACAACATGTAATACTTGAATTCAGATGGGATCTGAGGTAACAGCATCAGCAGACTTTGTGTTCCAGATCTTCATATCACAGTAATTCCTTTCAGTGTGCACTTGGTTTTACCCTGTGCTGACTGCTTGGTTGGTTTTTTTAAATCAAATTACTTACTATTGTCCTAATGCCATATTTTTCTGGACTCTTTTTTCTAAACTTCACTCAAAACACATCACAAGTAAACAAGATAAAGGAGACAAATCTGTGATATCTATAGAATTAGTCAAAACAGAACAGGTCAAATCATCTTGTCTTCTTCACATTGACAGAAGATTTTTGGGGCCCAGTTGACGCTCTTTCTTCTTTTCACTAACCAGTATCATTCTTACTCTCATGACCATCATGAGACCAAATTGCTTGCCAGAATACATACACCTACCCCTCAGACTGCTCCTGAATTCCTGCTCTCACCTCAGGGTTACCCCTCCTTCTCAAGTCTGCTAATACTTAAGAAATGTGATGGGGTATTAAACAGGCAATTTATAGCAGTCTTTCCTATGTCCCATAATAGGCAAGCTGAAGGTATATTTTAACAGTAAGTAAATAATAAAGCAGAGTTAAAATATTGCTTATGTCATATCTGTACCAATACATATTTAAAGAAACCCTGAACTTAAGCAATGATTACTTAATTTATGATTGGTACATACTGTAACCTGGGCCAAAAAATAAGGCCACCCAGGAGCAGTGAGGCATACAGTGGACTTTCTTCCCAGCAGGAACACTTGACATAAACATGTTAGTGCTCCACACACAGCATTTATTGTCAATCAAGTTACAGAGCTATTTAATGGTCTTTAACTTCAAAGAATTAAATGGGATAGGGCCAATTCGTCTCTGAGATCACCTCTCTCTCTGTACCACATCTGCTGTGCTCAAAGGGGGTCCCTTAGGCTGACAAAGCTCAGGTTTGAACTTGTCACACTCTAGGATGGTAAGATGTTTCCAATCATAGGTTAGTCATTACGGAACTTGCTTCAGAGATCAGACAGAGTGAACCTTCTTGCCATGACTTGGTTTATATTTGAGAAATTAAATAACTTAAAATCTCTCAAATATTGGTAGAAATATTGTGTTCACATATATAAAAACACTCTGAAGGGCCTAAAGAGGAATCTAATAATCTCTTAGAACAACCTACGTTCCAGCAGATGTAACTGGAAGAACTGTGCCTCTTAACTGCACAGTGGTTGAAGACAAAGGTTACCTTGAATAACTCATCTTCCTCTGCTGCAGCGAACATACTGTCCTTGACAAGAATCACAAACCAGAGGCTTTCAGAAGCAGAGACAGAGACTGTGGGGCAAAAATCCAGAATGCCTTCAACTCAGAAAAATGTAGGTCTGGGGCAAAATTTCAGCACAGCTATAGAGTGACACACTCAACTCCTTATGCTTGAGATGGTCTAATGAAGCGGGTTGAATTACAAAGAGTGCAATTCAGTTTCTGATACAGACAAGTCCCTGACAGTTCCCTAAACAAAGATTTTTTAAAAGCTGTTGATACAGACAACTGTAATGAGACAACCTAGAGTGGAGGAAAAAGGAAGGTTCTGTGTTCAGAGGAAAAACTGAAACATTATGTTATTACCGACAGTGCAGTAATGGATGCCAAAGACAAGAGAGCAGTCACAAGGGAATAAGTTATCACTCTCAATACCTACCTCATTAGTAACTGAGAGAATTGACAGCGCAGAATCACAGTACTTCAGTGCATTGTTTTTCTGGCCAAGATCTTTATAGCACTGAGAAGAAAAAACATTTTGTTTCCAATCAGACCACTGTAGGAATACCAGAGTCTACAAATCATTATTTTTAAAAGAACTTGGTTACCTTTGCCAAATACACATAATTGCATTTGGAATATCCTGGATGCATTTCTTCTGCCTAGATAATAAAAAACAGGAAAGAAAATAGACTTAAAACTTGTGTGATGGGATTTATGTGGTCTGCATAACATTTTTAGTAATGCACTACACTTCCTCAAACATCAGACGGAATCGTCCCTACTGTGTGTAATGCAATCTGTTTAGCAATTCAAAAAAAAGAAAACAAGAAAACCCCAAACTCAAACCCTAGACCAAGCACAATAGGTGCTGACATTGAACACATAAAAATATTCTGTACTCCTTGCTTTCCTCTCTCTCAAATGCTTTGTAAAGACATCAGGTCATTCTGTACAAGATTTATCAGATACATGCACCTTTTTGAATGACACTGCTCTCTCTAGATTATTAATAATTATTTCCTCGTCAAAGAAATTAGAAAGCAACCAACCATTCACACTTTGCATAACGAGTACTGGGTTAATCAACTTTACAATTATTTCTCTTCCACGGACCCGTACCATCTAGTTCTGGGTACACATTTCTTTTCACACTACTATCTTCTGAAAAGTTCAGGTTGTTAAAAAAGTTCAAGAATGTCTTCCTTTTAAAACACACCAAGGACATAGAAGCTTGCAAGATGAGTAAAAAACCTTACCAACTATCTACTAGCCAAGAAGCAGTTTTAATCAACAAACAGCTTCTGGAGAGAAAAATTACATCAGTGAAATTTACAGTAGCTGTAATCCTTGGACCAAAACAATGCTGCTTTCACCACAACCCTGTAGAATCAAACAATTGAAAAAGAAACCCAAACAGTTGTCTTTTAGACAGTAATTTAATTTTTGTTGCAGAAGATGACTTAAAACCACAGTCACTCTGCAGCCCACCACAAAATGCCCTGAAGCTAAAGTGAATGTTTCAAATTATTCCTACCACTTTTGGAATGTGACCTTAAAGACAAAATCTCTTAAACTGAGAAGATGGCAATGTATTGCACCGTCCAAAATTCAGGAGACCATTCCATCTTTAAATAGACTAAGAACAGAGAAAACAAGCACTGCTGAAAGTGACCAAAATATGCCTGTCCAATCCTTTGAGAAACTTTCTGAAAGTAATTGTAAGGATGGAAGTTTATGCTTTGAATTCAGTCAAGTGAAAAACTTGTACACTTTTCAGCTCCAGAAGCAGAACTGATTCCTATAGAAGACACTGAAAGATAGATTTATTTTATTCATGTGGTGTTTTCTCATAACTGTGTGTTCAAGTAGAATGCCCAGGAACATGGACCTGTATGACATAGTCTTCTTTTCTGATTCACTACAAAGGTAATTTCATCTCCACAAATAAGAAGCGCTTCTACTGAAATTCAACAAAAAAAAGCTTCAGATCAGAAAAAGAAAAGCATCACAATGTTTAAGTTTTCCTTGCCCATGTTAACCCTTCTACAGAAATGGGCAAATCATCAATTATCACTATGATCAATTTGTTTCAATAGCATATATAACTAATCTATATCCATCTCACATTATATTCAGTAACTATTAACCATGTCAAGTAATTGAAGAATCCTCAAAACAAAAGAAAGAAAGGTGCTAGCCAGTCATCTCCAAACTAATTTTAAAACAGAAAAGAAAAGATATTTTATTAGAAAGCTCAGTGGTGTTTAGAAGAGCCCTGGATTTATAGCTACTGAACGCAATCTGTTCAACAGACTTCTTGACAAGAGTCACATACAGCAGCTGGTAAACAGCCACAAAGGAAAACCGTTGGCCAGGGCGTACCTTAAGGAAATTCTGCAGTGCTTCTTCTACTGTTGAAGTTGGTGGAGTCCCAAAGAGAGCAGTAGCTACCTTCTTTTCAATCCAAGACAACTGAGCTACCTGTAATAAAAAAATTAAATTAAAAAGTCAGATGTCTTCAGGGCTGCCTCTCAGTTTTACAGTAAATACTGTCTTGTGCACTGTACTACTTACATGACGTACTTTGCAAAAGAACCTGTAAAGGAATGCTTTATACTGCAAACTTGCCAGCTAAAAGCAGTCTTTTGGATTTTGGATTCCGTTAACAGGAAAATGTGCACATATGACAAAACACCAAGATCCTTGATACATGGATTATTCCCATATAAAAAGCTTAAACTACATTTTAGGTTTCATAAGACCTTGCCTGGTTTTAAAACTGAAGGCTAGAAATAGTGCTTGAAACTTGTTAAGGTTTTCAAGAGAAAGTTTAGCATGATAGTCTACGTACTTGACAACTTTTCAACATTATGAAAAGCTGTTGCTACAGTAAAAATGTAAGTGCTTTTGGTGCTGGTATAACAAGTTCATTTATTACACAGAAGCTGGTGACAGCCACGGTTAAAAAATAGGTTTCGTTTTTTTCTCTTCAAATCTGACAAATAACGCTTGCCTAAGACCTCTTCTCATTTCAGCAAGATGGACTGCTGAGAAAGGACTTTAGGGAACTGTCATATTCCCACACAACACACATGACTTCTTCCCTTACATATACGTCTGACAGAAACTGCTCTGGTTACTGCCATAAGGTACTTGGCTACATCACCCCAACACGGCAAAACACACCTCACATCTATAACAAAGGGCGGAGTTGCTAGGAAATGCAACGTAAGAGCAGAGCCTGTTTAAATGGAGAAGTGAAGCCACTTTCCTTTGGACACTTCTACCACATCTGTAAAGAAAAATCAGGACTTTTTTCCTTTCCATAAGTATTTGAACCACTGCACTGATGGCTCCTGTCACTGAGTACAACTGAGTTGAAAAATGGGAAAAAAACAAGGTTCTGTATTTTCTGGCCTGATCTATGCAGAGGCAACACAGAGAAGAGATATACACAGGAAAAGAAAGAGATCCCCTCATTAGAGACCTGGAGATGAAATATGAGCCACATATGGACATCTCTTTTCAGAAGAGCTGCAATTCAAATAACAGAGTTCAGCCTTGAAGTCAAGTTGGTCCTCCTGCTGTAAAAATTAAAATGGTTTTGGATAGTTTTAGATTATTCCTGCCTCATTCCCTGACTTCCCAATATCTGCAGGGCTGTTGCTGCTCCCCCGACCTTCTCCACCTAAATCCAGCAATTATCCAGTAGATGTCAGTTAATAATTGTAAAATATAAGAATCCACCCACACAGAATTATCCACAGCCATCAACTAGAATGCTTCTCTTTTGAATAGACACCAAGCTTTATGTATTTCTTGTTGCAATCTGCCCTAAAAATACCATTGCAAGAAATACAGGTCAGCATGCAACAGGAAAATTCATAGGACCATGCTTTCTAATCTGGTCCCAATGTCTCTAGCTGCATAAGAGCAACATTGCTTGGAGACAGAAGGCATCTTGGACAAGTCTGGCTGGTTGTTCAGCAGGGTCCAATGCCTTATTTGTTAAATGCTGTCAGTGAACATCTCACACAAAACCACTAAAAATGATAATCCAGAGAGAAACAATATTAAGAAAATAAAGCTTTTGCTTTCATTCTCTCTCACATGTCCCAACTTCAAGCTTCTTCTAAGGAAATAAAGTATTTTTTACAAAAGCTCTCCAGCAATCCTAGAGTTCTTACTCACTGAAGCAACAAGGTATTTACCCCTGCAGTGCTTTCACACTGTGTTACAAACTTCAGCATACTGCCTTAAAACTTCAAATTGTAGCTATGTATATAGTTTCTTTCCACATTTCATTTCCCTCACTGTTATATAGTTTCTAGGACATATTCTGCAACAGTCATTAAAAGCATTTTTGCAATAGCGCTGTTTTCTTCATGCTAATCTCCTGATGCAGTGTTCTTTCTTCTTTTGGAAGAGAAAGGGGCTTTCTATATTTCTAGGTCCATCACATAGAGGTAGCTTACAGAGTGAGGAAGAGAGGAGAAAAAAAATAAAGGGAATGGATATGCTTACACTGTTCTCTGCAAGACCACACAACACCCTGGAGATACACAGATACAATTACCACACTCATGTCTGCTGTTATGCAACAGTGAGGAAACAAAATTGCAGTTTTTCCATGTGGAGTTATAATTAACTATTGAAAACACAAGTTCTTCCTGGCAGTTGTTTTATTTTCTTATGAGATTTAATCAGAACTGATTTACTGAGGTTTTAGTCTTTATTTTGTCTGGCATGGGTGCTGCTTTGCCCTATTCAAATTTTTAAAAAGCCCAAACATACATGCACTTGGCCATTTTTATTTTACAAATCTCACCAAGATAAAACAACGTTAAAAGTGAAATGCATGTAAGCACGTTTCACAGAAAACCACTTGCACTGAAAGGATGTTGCAGGGAGGTGGAGGTCAGTCTCTTCTCCAGATAACAAGTGATGGGACCAGAGAAAAGGGCCTCAAGTTGCACCAGGGGAGGTTTAGATTGGATATTAGGAAAAATCTCTTCACTGAAAGAATAGTCAGGGATTGGAACAGGCTGCTCAGGGAAGTGGTATAATGGCTATCCCTGGATGTGTCCAAAGATGTGTGGATGTGGCTTTTGGGGCATGGTTTAATGGTGAACATTGCAGTGTTTGGTTCTTAGAGGTCTTTTCCAACCTTCATGGTTCTATGATTCCATGACAACAGTGAGTTTTCTTTCTTTCTGTGCACTCCCTCCACCATTACACTTTGTGACTATTTCAGAGATAGTCTGAGAGTTCTCTAATGTTTTGAGTGGTGAGACTGATGTGCCAGTGGCTTGATGTATTCATTGCAGCTAACTCTAGCCATCCATAAATGAAGTGCCTAGTTTACGCAAGCTGTCCAGCTTCCTTGAGTGGTCAATACAGAGAGAGGCAATTCCATTAGGCAATTCCAATTCTCCTACATTAGCTTAGGATGAACGCTCCTCTTTTTCTCTTCTTTTTTTCCTTTAACTGCAAAAGGAGTGCAGACAATTATACTTTGTGGGTTGCTGAAGACAGTTGAGGTGAATCCCAACAGAACAGCTTAACTGTACCCCACCTGAATCTGTCTGCACCCTGCTATACTGAGGTGGGACAAATGGAAAAGAACCTGTTTTATGCAATACACAGAATTGTGTCCCAGAGCAATAATGATGAATAGGAAATTATACCCTTCCCCTCAATGCACATAAGCACAGTCTTTAATTTGAAATAACTTTATTAGAGTAAATCTTACACCACCTTCAGTGAAATGGAAACAATTCCTACTACACCACCTAACTTTATTAAGCATTCTCTGTGTGTGAGCAAGCACAGGGAACAGAAACCCTGGTCAGCACGCTCTAGTGTAGTGCAAATTTGACTTCTACAGTAAAGGTTACTCCAATAGTGCAAAGTATATCTGGAGGTCCATACAAAATCAAATATAAAGAGAGTGTAACTGTCATCAACTACAGTGGAACCATGATTTCACTTTAATGCATGTTCCAAAAGTGGTAAAGGACAGCAGAAAGTAATAAGAAAAACAGCTACTGCAGCAAGTAATAGCTACAACAACAACAACAAGAAAATTAAAGAATGAAGATTGCCTATGCCCTACAGATGATTTCCAAATGTTAAGTGAGTTTTGGTTTTTTGGTCTCCTAAACCCTGATGTCAGTCCTGTCAGCAGCCTGAAAATTCACAGGAACACTGTGTTTCCACAGAATAATGAGTTTTAATGTATTGGGTCACTCATTGCTACCCAGCTACCATACAAAGAGTTAGTCCCACTCAATCAAGAGCGAGAAAAAAGGGCCTGAGGGACCATCAGCCAACTCCTGAACTTTCTTAGGACTGGAGAGGGGTCATAATGATAGCCTGGCCTCTGCCAAGGAGAGGAGGCCACTCTTCAGTATCCCAAAGCAAACAGAGATGCTTGTCTCAACCAATCTCTCCTATAGATCTGTCAAAGAACAAGCTGTCATCCACTTATTCTACCTAAATCTCCATTAGTACTAGAGATGGAAGAAAGGTACCCACAGAGTAAAACTGCAGCTGAACATTAAGGTCATATTTAGCACTCTCCTATCAGGCCTCTTGTCCCTTTGAACAAGACTAACGCAGAAACATGGTTCTCCCTTAAATACTGGGAAAACAGATTTCCTAACATCCCTTTCTCTTCCTTAGCCTAAGATCATAAAAAATCACATATATATATATATATATATATGATTTGAGAAGTACATAAATACAATGAAACACTGGCTGGGGTTTTGTCTTCTGTTTGTTTTTTATGAGATGCAAACCCTGTCCAGTGACAGTTCTTTTCAAATTCAGGATGTTGGTACTGAGGAAACTAATCCACTTGGATTAAAAAGTCATCCAGGATTGACTTTCAGCCCTATAGGATATCCTCCTCCAATGTTTCCTTGCTAATAGCTCACTGAAGACATATTACACAATTGTCTTCCCATTGATCCAGCTTCAGTAAAATATTAATGACACCTAATTAAATATCCCAGAGAGTTTCTTTTTCATTATAATATATTAATTTAAAATTGTATTAAATAATTTCGCAATGTTTTGACTTCTGGAAGAGATTAAGTAACAGGACACCAGTTTTAAAATACTGGCTTCCAAAACAAATATTCTCTTTCTTGCCAGCTGAAAAATCAGGACAGTCTGCACAGGCATTTAGGTATTTATCCAACTTGAATTGGGCTTTTCACTTTCCAGTAAGGGAAGCAGACTTACAGAGCATACAAAGGAACTGGATCTATTGTTCCCTGATGTAACCCAAACAGATACTGGGATACACCAGAGACAAATCCAACACATGGCATGTAACCTGCAAAAAGAAAATCCCAAGAGATCTCATTTTTAACACCCTACTAGCCTTTACCAGAGACTCCGATCCAGTTTCACAAGTATATGCTAACTGTTCTGTGCCTGTCCTGTAATGGCAAATAGACATAAGTTTTAACTAGATAGTACTTTGTTTTATAAGCTATTTGAAACATTAAAACAGTAAAAAAACACCCCATAAACAAAAAATTATAAAGATTTATCAGATAATTGTGCCCAAAACTCTAAGGAAATAAAACTAATTCCTATATGCACCACATACCACAGATCCATTCACTTCTTGTATACACAGCAGGTCTCACAGGCAAAATTTTACCCATCATGACATCTATGACATGACTGGTGAAAATCTTGCCTATCTGATTGTGATACCAGATGTAATTTTCTGGTGAGATGATTCTGTGATCTTTCTCTTTTGTATAGCTCTACTGACTTTATAATGGTAAGAGAAATAAGAAACAGCAAAAATTGATTTTTAGACAAGGTGGCGCACAACTGTCACTGGCTCTGCATCACAGACAAACCCCAGCTGCTGTGAGGGCAGTGAAAATACAGCTCATCTTTTCTGCTGGAAGGTGCTACAACACTGCACCAGCTTCACTTCTGGCCTAGCAAGAATAACCGACGAGTAAGAAACTTCGCAGTGCCGAGCCACTGCTCTTTGCAAAGTACTGTGTTACACTGAGGAAGGTGAGAAATGGCAGTCAGAGCTAAATTCTGGCAAAATTCCACAAATCAAATAGTTTTTACCTGTACAGTGTGCAGTCTCCGGATACAGATTTCAGCCTTCAATAAATCTCCATTTCCCTCCACTGTACATTTTACCTAAAAGTCTTTTCAACTGGTTTTCATTTGTGAAAATGAACTGTAATCCTGAGTTACAATGCCTGAAGCACCCCCTTTTACAATCCCTTATGCAATTCCTAATTTTTTGAGTTTGTCATCCCAAAAAAAAGTGCTAGATGATAGTAATAAGATCCCCCAACATTAAATAAGAAGTGAATGGGAAATGTCTGACTGTATTAGGAAGACTTAAACACATTTCACAGAAGTGTTACCAAAGCCTATAAAGTATCAAACACTAGTTATCTTTTTTAACTATCAAACACTAGTTATCTTTTTTAACTACACTGCTTCAGTAAAACAATATGTGATGAAAATTAGACAAAAATACTTGCTTGGAAGCAATACTTGAGAAAGAACAAATATTGGGTCAATCCTAACCTGACCCTAAAGTCAGGTAGGCTAAATGTAAAAACTAACCTTCTTGCCTCAGTCATCCCTTTTTCTTCTTTAATTCTCTCACATTGGACAACACAACCTTCCCAGCCTCAACCACAGCGAGACTGAACATTAAAAACAGAGGGTCTAAGAGGAACATTTATCACTCCAGCTACAGGTACCTTTATACAGAAGCGATGAATCAATTTTTTAAAGTGCTGTATCATAATCTATACCCTGACAAAGTATTTGGAACCAATGCCACAGCCAACAGTCTTTTTTTGGGATAATTACCACAGCATGAAACACCACAGTCTGCAGAATAGGACCAAGGAATTTGGCACATTTTCCACAAGCTCCTATGACTACCTATAACATACACATGGCCAAAACCTCTATTAGTGGATCAGCTCAGAAACCTACTCATATAGTCTGGTAAAACTAATGAAAATATCACCAACCTCACTGGGCCATGATTAAGATTCAGCTTCTATAGTAGTGCCTCAAAACTAATGTTTTCAAATGACCTCATTCTGCCACTGCAAGTATGCAAAGACAGTAAGATTTTAAGAGCAGACAGCTCTTTAAGAGCAGACAACAAAATGTTGTTCAGTCCTATACTTGCATTTATTTGTACTACAAAAATCTGTTCTGTGTGTTTCAGGTTACTATTTTGTAATGGCAGTCACAGAACACAAGAATTTTAAAAAAGAAGAAAAAGTGAAATGTGAAATCAATCCTTAAATATTTCCGTGGCTACATCTGTTTAGGTAGATTATTTCACTTAATGAAATGCAGGTCAGGTCATTACCTAAAGCAAATGCTAATATGTGGTTTTAATGTTTAGTAAGGAAGCCCTGCATAGATGTTGCAAGTGTGGAACATGAATTTGTAATGATACAGTACAACAAACCACACCTATTACTCAGTCAGGAAGTAGTGATTATCACAAAAATGGAACAGGAGTAACAAAAAGTGCAATAAGAACAAAGTGAAGTATACTGAGATTATATGCCTCCAAAAAGCAGCAGCTCGCATGAGAAATAACCCATGAAAAACATCTGGGAGTGTTTGACATAAATGGAAGCTGCAGTTCAGATGTTGGACCCAGCATAGTACAAAAGCGCTAAACAATCACTGGTAAGACACATGCTCCTGAGAGGCAAGACAGCAAGCATACTATAGTACCATCAACTTATTTTTGCATAGATAATGCTGATATTCAAGAATACAGTGTGACAAAAAGAAAAATGCCAAGTTCTTTGAAAAAGTTGGTGTCATTCCTTATTCAAATCAAAGGAGAAGAAACATAGTTGCTGAAAGCTCTTTTAAAGTTAAATATATAATCTGAAAAAAACTGCTGAAAGAGTACTTTGCATTAAGTCCTGTTGCAGATAAAGACGAAGTCTGCAACGTATCACAACAACTCCTTCTTTACAGTTTGCAGGCACTTTGTATTGACTAGCATTGGAAGTATCCATAAGAAAAAGGCAGGACTGGTATTCACTGTGCTAAGCAGTTATTATTCTGAAAAGTCTTACAGTCATCTTTTACAGCATGGACTACAGAAGAACATTTTCTTCTGACCAAGGAGTCTTCACAGCACCAGAAATGAAGCAGTAAGGATGGCCAACTGATCCCTCAAAGATGTGGGCTAAGAGTAAGACAACTCTCATACTAAAGCACATGCATAACTTTTCTAAAAAACTGATTAACAGCTAAACTAGTAAACCAATTATTTTATTTTTTCTTATATGAATACTTATCAGCATGTAATCTATTATAATACAATCTTTATAATATATAAATAAAAATATAACTAAAATAATCTTTTAAATCACCTGTTGTACTGGTATGACACAAATTACATCTCTTGCAAAATTCTTTGGTGAATTATGGATTTTTATGCCTGAATCTTTCTTGTGACATTCTCTTGGAATTTACCAAGCCAGTATGGTAGCCTTGCTGCCACAGACATAATCCTACAGCATGTAAGTGCCTTTCACTTAAGTTATGGATGGGGAATACAGTTACCAAAAGGCTATGTTAGCAGCCCAAAGTTACCCCGAAGGTTTGTAGCGGAACAAAGAACTGAAACCAAGAGACTGCCCTTCCTCCCTTTCAAACATCAGTTACTTTTCATTCATGCATTCAGGCAAAAAACTTGAACACAACAATGAGGGACATACAAGCACAGCTTACCTACCTATATTACAGGATAAGTGCTGATAGCAGCACACTTCTGGTAGTTGACTCAGGAAATGTAAATGTCTGCTTCATTTAGCTCAAAACACCTACTTAAATAAACACTTACTTTGTCTTAAGTCCCAATATTTAATCACAAATACATTATCATTTTTCAGTATACTCAGTTCATATATTAGATAAATAAAACACAACTTACTGAATAGCACCATCTTCCATTGAGGTAATATAAAAAAGGATCTTGAGGCTTAAGTTCAATCGCCTTGTCTAGGTGCTCCTATTGGAAAGAAAATTAGTATCACTTTAGATGTTTGTTTGACAAGTGTGTTTACTTTCTAAGTAGTTTGCTGCAAGTCAGAAACAAATTCAGTAATTCTCTTCTGCTGCAATTCTTTTCTAACAACCAAAATATATATTAACTAGCAAACCCCTTCCTCATGGGAAAGTAAAGTTGCACACAATGCAACAAGGCATGCCATATTTAGAATATGACTAAGCAACTCTAAAGTTCAATCAAATAACTCAAGAAGTTTTGTCTTAAGAAAAACAACAACTTCAATTAAATTAATTTCATTTACAGTTAGTATTAGAAAAATCACAGATCAAATAAGTGAGGAACCAATTATTCTCTTTGATAGATCTTGTATGTCAGCACACATCACTGAAGCACAGTCTCTTCCACCTTAGAACGTGACTGCTCCAATGAAATGGTACTTGACACAACCAAATGTTACTATAATGTGAAATTCAAAAAATAAAATGGTTCTGTTTATAGTGAAACTATAAAACCTAGGCAGTATCTAATGAGGTCCTTCTTCCAAAATAATTTTTATTACAGGTCATGAGTCTCTTTATTCCCCTCTTTAATTTACTAAAGAAAGCTCTTATCACTCAACCTAAGTTTGAAGAAAAAATAAGTATGTCATTTCATCCCTACCATCTGCCTCTCAAAATAAATTTCACTTGAACTTTTTTATCCCCCAGATATCTTTCTGATTCAGCTAGTCACAAAAATATTTGAGTTACATAGATCTAAGAGACTGTTATGCTATCATTTTGTCCACAAACTATTCAGACAGGAGCTACGTTTTCATACTATTTTCCCAAATCCTTAACATTTCCAAACAATTCAACAGATTTCAGTAATTACTAGTGAGGAGGAAAACCTCCCTGAAAAGGCTACTGCTTATACCATGAACTCTTAAAACTCCATCCTTACACAGCTGCAGCACTTATGTTATTTGTCATTATCCCTTCATTCCCAGCTTGTCCCAGTGCTTGGGGCTTAGCTCACTTGGCACAGCTCAGACGTAATTTTTGCTCTCTCACAGGAAAGCTCTGCCACACTCCAAGTCCTAACACAGACATGATGTGACAGGAACCCAGACCAGGCATTCCCCAGGAACTGGAACATGTCTGCTGCCTCTCACTGACACCCAGAAAGGGGGGACACCAGCTTGGAAGGCAAGGGATGGATGGAAAGTGTCTAAGCAATGCTGAGGACAAGGACGGGGAAAGTAGCACATGTAACACAAGTAACTAAATCTAAAAAACACAATAACCTTCGAAAGGACAGTGTTAAAAAATATATTACATAAGGGTGGCATGAAGGATGATTGCAGAACTGTGTTAGTTGATCACTTACTATTTCATATGTTTTGATTTTCTAAACAGAATTGTTATTACCTTTTCCTCCCCCCTCTGACTACAAAATAAACCAGAAATCTTAAAGCTGTTCCCAGAATCCTACCTCAGTTCTTATATTGTGTAAGCATATAATCTATTTGCATATATAAAAATAAATTTTTCGCTGTAACTTCAGCACCAAAATAGACCTGTGAGGCTGAATTACTGTGTTGAAAAAGTCTGTCTTTGACACTATATAAGGAAATAACTTGAAGGAATAGCTTTAAAAAAAACCAACCCCAAATCCTACAAAAACATACCTTAAAGAGATAACCATTCCTGATTTTGTTTTGTACACTTTCAAACTGAGACATATAGCCACACATAATTGCAAACCTGAGAGGGGAAAAGAAAAACACACACACATACTTTTTGTGATTTAAATAAACCTTTGAATTAAATTACAAAATATTTCAATACCTAATTCACAGATTAACACCTGGGGTTGTTTTTCATCTCGATAGCTGGATGAAAGTTTGGTATAAGCTATACATATTCAGGAGCAGACGAAAACACAGATCAAAACAAAATAATAACGGAAACGAGAAGAAGTTTAAATTACACTATCTGGGCTGTCAGTGAAGTGAAAAAACAGAGATTTCTCCTCTCAAATTTCTACCATATAGTTCAGAGTATGACACTTCCAGACCAGCTCTACCATTGTCAGCAGTTTGACACATTGTGCTCTGCATTGCACTGCACTGGGAACATGAACACTGTCAGCTGCAGAACCTCACCTGGGAAGGCAAATACTGGGGGTGTGCTCAGTAGGAAGCTGTACACACAAAATGTTCACAGCTGTCTTCTACCCTTTTCAAGCACCTTGGTGCATTCCTGCACTTCTGGCATTCTTCTAATATCTTCAAAATTACCTAAAAACATACACACATGTTCTGCTCTAAGAGGGTCACTACTGCTATCACTAGATCATTATTATTTCTATTATTATTACTATGATTATCGTAAATTTGGGAGACTGATAAAAGAAATGTGAGATAATTTCTATATAATATTTGTATTGTTAATCAGGTATAACTGAAAACATTTTTAGAGGTCCCCATCTATAAAGATTCAGATCTCCTAAGCAACACTACTGTTTTATTGACACTCCACCTAAATTTCTATTGCTTTCTTCCTATTACTTTAACAAGTATAGAACCTCTATGCATAAGGAATCTCTTGCACAGACATCAATTGTACTTTCCTTGGACCTATTTTCATTGGTATTAAGACAACTCTGTAATTCTGCATAAAACTAACAGAACCATCAAAGAAATAGTTAAACAGTCAAAACTCATGTACATTATTTTTCTATTTTTTCAGAATTTTGCTTTTTTACTAAATATTTTACAATGCAATACCAAATCAAAGGAAAAAGTAATCTTAGAAGAGGGAAACCCGAAGTCCAGAGGAAAACATGAGTTATGCAAGAAGCTTATTGAGTTAATTATGGTAACAGAACCACAATCTGTATGGCACACACAGGTTTTAAGAATTACTAAACATCAGCTTTCTTGAATTTCTTTATATAATGTAATTATTCAAGCTCCAGTGAATCCTCATTAAAACTTCAATTAAAGAAATTACTTTATTGCTTACAGTTATACCTAATGGTTTTAAGTTAGAAGCACTCATGCTACAGGTCACTGCATTTTTTGGTCAGCAAGTGTTCCCAGGTAAGGAATGGAGTCAGCATAACAACAGCAGTTGAATTCATAAGAGCTTCAGACAGACTGTCAAACACTGTTGAGCAGGATGTATGTTGTGACCAATGTGCACTGGACAAAATCCAGCTAATGGCAGCTCTACTGCTGATAGAGCCACAGCGGAAGCGCATTTTGTATGGGAGCAAGCTGCAATTGAGGGAAAAAGCAAGGGGTGGGGGTCAGGAAAGTTCAGGTATTTAGAAAGAGGGGGAAGGTACTGAAAACTTCATTAGGTTTAAGTAACTCGGGCAACATTGCCCCTATTCCCTTCACTCATTAAGTGCTAATCAGATAAACTCAGCATACCATAGCTAAACGGATTGCTGCTACAAAAGAAAACAATGAAAAGCGAACAAGCTAATCCAGCATCTTGTAATATTTCCCTGTCTGTGCGTGACAAGAAAGAGGGCCTTAGTTTAAACTAGTTCAAAGAAAAATTTCTACTTACAGCTAAAATCTCTGGGGAGGGATATCCCAATAAAATTTTCAATGTATGAAAAGTAAGCTAACCTACTAACTTTAAATATGCATTACTTTTTCAAGGAAAAATTAAAAATGTCTTTCACATATTTGTCTTTTTTTTCTTTTAAATTTTATACTTTTGAACTAGGCTAGGCAGCCAATTGATATAAAAGAATTATTTAATTTTTGGCATTTACTTTTCAAAAAAACCCAACAACCTAAAGCAAAGAAAACAAAAAAGTGTCTTTGGTTTCCAGAAGATAATCTTCAGGCGTTTTAAATATTCTTCAAAGAGTTTAAAACACAAAACAAACTTTATTTTCAGTGATGCAAAGACTCACGTTAATCATAGATTGGTTTGGGTTGGAAGGCACCCTAAAGATCATCTGATTCCAACCTCCTGCCTGGGGCAGGGATACCTTCCACTAGATCAAGTTGCTCAAAGCCCCATCCGACCTGGCCTCAAACAACTCCAGGGATGTGGCAGCCACAGCTTCTCTGGGCAACCTACTCCAGTGCCTCATCACTCTCCTAGTGAAGAAAATGATGAGAAAAAACGAGGCAGGAGGTAACTAGAAACGCTTCCATCTGTTCCTTATTGTTTGCCGCATGCTGGCCCCAACCCTGCCACTCCCTGGTCACCTGCCCCATCTCGTGGTGGCAGGGGGGAATACTAAAAAGTTTATCACAAAATAACGTGCAAATACCCTATGAAATGGGTAAAACGTACATGCATTTTGGTAGAGTAAGTGATACTGGCTCTCCTCATTACCACTGCCTGCCTTACAGACTTTGAACATCAGGGCTAAAATACCGTTTACAGTGCCTTCACAGAGAAAATGCAAAAATCATACCAGTTAAGAGCTGCAAAGAATGACGTAACTGCTGAGCTAATGCTACTCCTGGGTAACATAAAAAAAAACCGCCCCAGACACGTCCATCTAAATAAACACAACGATCATTACCCCATTAAGGCAGACACAGTACTTGGGTTGGCATAAAAAACGTTATTCACAGATGGAAGAAAAGTTACTGAACGTGGTGTAGAGGCACACAGGTCAACACAATTAACACCCCTTTAATAAGCACAAACACAACCAAAGAAACTCAGTAATAAGTCAGCATAATGTCCTTTTGTTAAAAATGTTGTAATTGAAACTCAGACTTTCAAGAAACTGTAGCTGACAGAGAAAGATACTAAGTGCCTACATGGCCCTCATGCAGAGGGGTCCAGATCAAAGTGACTTAACATTTTCCCTTCTGGTGCTTCAGAATTTCTGTATGTATTCAGGCAAGGTAAAACTGTAAGGGGCATACCTTATCTGTTGCAAAAGGAGAGCAGCAGGTTGATACACTATGTTTTATCAACCCGATTTGAATCTTAATATCAAAAACGCTACCAACACACAAGACTCTGGCAACTACAGTTTATTCCATATGAGACATATTTACAGAAAAGATTTTGAAGTCTCAAATCCGCAATAAACCACACTAGGGCATATGAATACAGCAAGTTTTACCTTTTCCCTGATAATTCTCGCAGGGCCAAAATCAGAAATAACAAGCATCTTCCCAGGCTTGTTCCTCACTCTTCTAAATACCCTTTCATATATCCCAAACGTAAAAACCCTCTTATGTCACGTAGACTTTGGAAATGTGTGGGTACAGGGCTTACATTTAGAAATCTAGATCTCCATTTTAACATCCTAGTATCAACAGGAAAGTTTTTCTCAATTGTAAATGGTAAGACTTTGCCAATTGAAGGAGAGTTTGTGATATTTACCAACACCAAAGAATACAATTCATCTGTTCCATAGCTGTTTTCCACTCCCTCCTATTCATCTGAGAAACATTTAACATGTAAGGTAGTACAAGCAAAGGCTAATGTGTGGGTAGCACACGAGAGACCCAGTGAAAAGAAAGCTCATTTTCATCCCAGTTCTACATGTGTTCTTAAGTCCCCTCACCTCCGCATGGCTCAGTCCTGTGCATGCCATCACTTCTTAGCCATCCGCTCCCTCACTCACCAGTTTCACACACTTACAAATTCTGACAGTGTCCACAAAGCAGCCAGACTTCTTTTTAACATGATTTCAATGAGATATCAATTTCTATGTAGGAAGATTTTGCAACTTAAGTTACTGATTATGACTCTGCTGAATAACCCTTTCTGAGATCTCAGTTCTGCATACTTTAAATTGTACCACTTTCCTGCCAAGATACTTAATCTATAAAATTGCATCTGAGTTTAGATGGAGAGGTAGAGATGGAAGGATACCACCATCCTCCTTGGGGTGAGTGTGGAAGAAGTGGATGAGAACGTGTAAGACTGACAACACACAAAGTAAGATGCGCCAAGGTGCGAAGCTAAGTGTTCAGGTGGGTTTTTTTTCATAGGGATTCCTTCCCTTTCCCTTTCCCTTCCCCTTTCCCTTCCCCTTTCCCTTCCCCTTTCTGGAATACAACTGAGTCTATATTGTAGAAATTGGCAGAAATATAGTTTTCATATTAAAAATTTACCAGAGCACTGAAGCTGAGGTCCAGGGAAACATCAGATGTAGCTCACACTTGCTTACGCGATACTTGCAAAAACATGAGAAATAACCCCCTATTTTGGTTAAAAAACACTGAAGGTAAGGACGTTCAAGAATTCTGGCTTAATAATTTATTGCAACACATACAGTATACCACACCAGTGTTAATGTGTATTCACAGAAGTTCACCAGTAGAACATGTGGATGCCATGTTCTGCATTTCTTAGGCTGTGCAACCCAAAACTATGTTAATTTCTGTGTTCCAGAAATGTAACTTCTTGTTTCATAACAGACAGTTGTTATAGATAGAAATACAATCTTGAAGAAATTAGCAGGATAGTCTTCACAAATGTGGAAACAGAGTGAAATAATAGCTTTCAGAGATAGTAACACAACAATTTTCCTTGACAGACATGTAAAAGGAATCACTAGGTTGCCAGCTTTATTTCCTCTGTGACCATTCTGGCAAAAATCTTGTAGTAAACAGATCTTTTCACATGTCAAACCTACCTCCTCTGCACTTGCATAAGGATGCTGCAGAGTTTCACTGATCCACTTACTACAGAATAAGTTACAGCTTTTCAGAAATGGCTTCTGGATTTGAAATTTTAAATTATTTTTACAAAAAGAATTA